GTAGGTTGGAGGCCATCGCTAGTAGGTTGGAGGCCATTGCTATTAGGCCACTGGGTGTTGGAGCATTCCATTGATGCCGCTAGAGGAGCTTACAAGTTGGCAGTGGGGAGACAAGTGGGGAAATCACGTCGTGACAGGATGCAATTGAGTGAATGCCACAGAACCCCAACAGCAAGGTGTCTTTGCTGTCGTTCTTTCTTTCTGTTCTTTTCTTTGTCCTTTCGGCCTTTCCCTTTCCTTTCTGTGTTTTCCACAAAGCTGGTAACATCCAAACCTGCTGCTTTCATCCTCTCGGATTCGCAACCTCACTGCAAGGGTTGGAGCTTGGAACATCCTCTTCAAAGCTCTTCAAACAGAATTAAGACTTAAAAGCAAAGATTCCAAGCCACCAACTCGGATGCCATGAAGTTCCGGCCAAATTGCCGCTCCTGTTGCCATCCAAATTCAGCCAAACCCCAAGCTGAGAGAACGTCCAATCCAAGCCGCCTCTGGATGGCCAGTTTCTGGTAAGAGCACAGACAATGTGTGATAGTACCTCCCCAAACAATGCCTTAGTAACACCTCAAAGAGCAATGCCTTAGTTTGCTGACTCTTCTGCAAACCTGCAATCTTCCTAACGGAACGAAACTATCTTGTCTGACTTATTACCAGAAAAGAACGAAAACCTCAAGGGGGCACCCGTTGTACTCCAAGTATTCCCTGATCAGCTCATTGATCAACGCATTTTCACGTGGCAAGTTCGGGCGCTGCACCTGCGAGTACAAATCAAAGTCTGCATCACGGCAAGGGATCTTTGGCCCAGTGGCATTCCCCAGAGGCTTTCGAAGCAAAGAAAAATGAAAAGAACACAAGACGATGTGTGTGAATATCTTAGGTTGGAGGCCATCGCTCTGAGGTTGGAGGCCATTGCTATTAGAAACAAAAAAGAAAAGGAATTAATTAGGTCTAATATGTTGAAGTCTGAAAGAACTGGAAGTAGGGGCCAAGGCCTCAAAAAGGAGTTCCAACAAAACAGATCATGAAACCAACTTGACCAGAGAGGTTCAACTTGTTTGTTTTGACCTTGTTTCTTGCGAATTGAACCCAATATAGCAGATTCAGCATTCATGACCGTGTTTCAGAAAAAAGAATAGCAGAAACAGTGTTTAACCCCAATCAAATGACAAAATATCGAACACGTCTGAGCAGATTACCCCCCTTGACCTTCTCGTCATCTAGAGCAGCGAAGATCTCCGCGCGAACCTTCGCCTTCACCTACCAACTGGCTAGTTTTATGAAGTTGAACTCAACACACAGAGCCAAAATCCTTCACACTAGCCGCTAGTTGTGCTGATCAAATGTCGTTGCAATGACAGCCAATGACAGGAGTCAGAAAGTGTCAGAACAATGGTATCTATTGTATTTCAAACTCTCATATCAGACCCGTCACTGAGCAGTGTCCAAGTTGTTGGACAAGTAAAATGATTGTTGACAGACTGTTTTATGATGGGATACTGGATACTGAGCCTATCAAACATTTCTCAAAAATCCAAAGTGCGCCGAACACACCACGAAATGTGCCTGTCCCAAGACACCGCGAGTTTCCAAGGTCTGAATCAAGGCCTCCCAAACTGATGACGCACAGTTTAAGAACTCAAGAACACATCAATCTTACAGTTTTGTGGTTGGTTTGCCACGGGAGTGCATGGAATAAGGCGAATAAGACACTCCATCAAGCAACCAAGTCCTAATTTCAGGAAATGTGGCACCGCAAACTCTATGCAGAAACCTCCACACACCGAGCTGCAGCTGCAACCCCGCCCGAAGAAACGGTAACGCCTCAACCACAAATGTTTGACTGTGACGAAAGTCAATTTTTGTTCTTCCGCCATTGATCACATTGGAAATAGCACCGATTCATCGTTACTGGGAACAAAGGGCATCGCTACTAGTAGCAAGAAACTACTGGGTGGAGGCCATCGCTACTAGGTTGGAGGCCATGTTCCCCACTGTTTCCGCAAGTTCGGGTGAGGTTTATCGGCTTGGAATGGAAACCGATGCCCACCGAGCCCACACCTGCTTCAATTCATCCAACGAAGCCGTCATCGGTGGATCAGGTCGGCAGGTCAATCAACCCTTCAACACTGAGTTTCGTCCAAATGCATTGCCAACAAAGCTATATGTTATATTGTTTTTTGTACTGCGTTGGTAACTTTGATAATCCTTTCGCATTTTGTCCTTGAACCCATTCTGTTACCCACACCTATGGACAATGCAATGCCAATATGAACCGAAAGGTTGCAGCTGTTCAAATTTTTTGGCATCAAACATTCCCCGTGCATGACCACAGTTCCATGGTCATGTGCTTTCTTGACAGTTTTCCTCACCACGGTTTTGCCCTTACACCTTGATACGTTCGATGTTGTTTGAATAATGTTCATCGGCACGTTGTGCAGCACAACCTGTCTCCAAACGAATGATCCATGCGTTCCGGCCAATATTTTGGAGGAACATTATTTTTCAACATTCGGGCTGTGCGACGCTCTGGTTCGCCACAAACTTTCCGGAAATCCGTGTGCTGTTGATCGCCCATCATCCAGGTTGTTTGTGCAAGTTGCTGTCTTGCGAGGATGTTGCGCATGATCGCTTGCTTCTCAACAACAAAGTTTCCTGTTCTTGTGTAGGTATTGGTTTCCATTTGACTCAAATACAACAAAAACTGATCTTCCTCATTGATTCTGAAATCAACCAATGCTCTAGCCATCACCACTTGCCCCACACGCATGCACGGGTTTGCAAGGTGATTTCCATTTTTCAATGAACACTTATTGTTGCACAACACGGAACTGGTCGAGCTACTTGCTCCAATGCAGGACCATGACAAACACCATTTTTTTTGTGTGTGGCTGCATGAATGGCCGTTTGCTGACTCTCCAGTATCAACAATACCCACGGTCCACAGTCCCACGGCTGACATTTCACCGCGGTCCACAGTCCCACGGCTGACATTTCACCTGATCAAACGTTGCCTTTTTGCACGGGTGGAGCCGCCGTCATGCAGGAAATGCATAGGTCAGCTTGTGCTGTTTTTGACAGGGTCTCTTGCATGAGAAACCAAACAACAAACACCACACTAACACAAACCAACCCAAAACCACAAAACCACAACCGACCAAGGAAGAAAGCAAGAGACTCTTGAGTGTATGCAAGGTGAAACCAGTGTGAGACATAAAGCGGGCGTTGAATTAGTGCAAAAAGGCTACACGATAAGCCTGGAGCCAAGTCGAAGTTGCTGACACTATTCAAAGCTTGGCTAATAGGCCTGGATGGGTTAGCCACCTTATGAACGAGAGAAGCAGGTGATCCTCGCTCCATCGCGTTGCCTTGTTGACAGTCAACCGCAAGTCAAAGACAGTGCCACACACCACTCATGAAAGGTCACATTGCTGGCAAAGAATTGCCCTTTCGTTTGGCGCGCTAGGGCTTCCTTGACCGCAGTGGTTTTCCATTGGTCACTTTCAAGAGCATCCTTTCATGTTCGACCGCTGCTTTTAATTGCAATTGAAAACAGTTCGCCTGTCTATATTGCCGATGCCTCTTCAAGTGAAAGACTTACGTGAGCATAGAATCTTAGAATGCGCTTCCCTGAATGCCTTGTGCAATGGCCTGTGTAAACAGGCCACCGAACCAAGTGCACTAGTGGATGCCTGAAATAAGTCAGTACTGCGTTCAAGATCGCTCACTCCAAGGCGTTTTGCAATAATTCACTGCCCCACAGATGTTTCACCTAGACCTAGTTCTCACCCTTCGTTTCACCCTTGCATGACTTACCTGAGTCTCCTTGCCGGCCTTGCGGTTTGGTTTTGTTGTTCTTGTTGTTTTTGGGGCGGTTTTTGTTGGGTGGTTTTGTTTGGTTTTTGTTTTGCCCGTTTTTGGCTGGACAAGGTCTTTGCAGACAAGGTCTGAACGAGATCGAAGTTCTTATACTTACAAATCTTATGGGTGCGAGAGAGATGTCGTTTTAAGAAAGCACAGACTCCAACAGTGAGATCAACGCACGTAGCAGTCAGAAAACACTCATGGAGAAGTAGAATCTGACGAAGGTTGTCAGCCTGATGATGAAGCTGCAACATTTGCTCTTGTATGAATCCTTGGACCCCATACAGGACAATGGAGACTGGCCGTGTGCCTGATATTGCCGTAAGAGCACAACTATAAGCTCATCCTCCCCTATTACAAACAAATTGTCGGTGTGTCGGTCAGTGCGAATCATGCTAGGAAATCGACAGACAAAAAAGATCTGATGCGATTCAGAGACACTAAGGCGTATGTGCTGCCTAAGGCACCCTTGTGACTCAAATGATGCAAAAAGATCGTCATAGATGGCTTGCGTGATTACACTCAAAGACTCTTTAGAAGGCATAGCCTAGACAATCTAGCGAAGTTCAGAGACAGTGACAAACCATCAGAAGAAGAGGTGTCATCGTTGATCTTTGAGAAACAAGCTCTCAAGCCCATCCCAAAGAATGAAAGGGTAAAAATGATTGATGAAGCTAGAAAGAAAGGCCTGCGAATTGAAATCATTCCCTCGAAGCTTGTCTGGACGAAGAAGCCAGGTAAAAAAGGAGGGAGGAAGAAAGTGAGATGGGTGGTGCGCGGGAACTTTGAGAGCAAAGATCCGAACGAAGAGACCTTCTCGTCCGGAGCAGATGCTGCTGCATTCCGGATTATGGTTTGGACTGCATCAAAGCTTCAGTGGGAAGCCAGCACACTCGACGTCAAAACAGCCTTCTTGAATGCTAAGATGGCTGCCAAGGAAGATCAAGAGTTGCCAGTCAGATGCGTTCTATCACCAAGAGCACTTACTTGGATGTGCGGGTGTGGTTATAAGTGCTTATGCAGTTTGCAGCACTTATATCACAACTTGTATCTGGTTTGCAGCGGTTAGTTGACCACAACATCTACGACGCAGTTAAGTCTCACTGTGGGATTTACATT